TCTCTTAGAGCTAGGGATTTTGAACATTTCTTCATGCGTTTGTTTTCTATCTAAATGTCTTCTTTGGTGAAGCGTCTGTTCATATCCAAAATGTGCCCATTTTGCAACTAGATCATTTACCTTTATCTTGTTGTGGCGATTGAGTATTCTATAACTTCTATATATAAATCCCTTATCAGACATGCCATTACCAAATATTCTTTCCCAGCCTGTAGCTTTCCTTTTTACCCTGCTGGAGAAGATTTTGGATGTGCACAGGGATTTTATTCTTAGAAGGTCCTATTCATCTATTTTATTCTCTTCTGGTTATAGGTTTTTTAGAATGCTTGGAAGGCTGTTCATGTTGTGGATTAGAGCTTCTAGAGTTCTTCCAAGCTTTTCTCTGATGAAAAAAATTTATAGTCCTTGGTTTTAGTCCTAGGTCCTTGATCCACTTTAAGTTGTTTCTTGTGTATGATGTGAGGTGTAGGTCTTGCTTGAGTTTCCTGTAGATAGTTTTCTAATTTTGCCAACACCATTTGTTTAAAAAGGCTGTCGTTTTCTTTCCCACTTAACTGATTTTATCTCTCTGTGAAAAATCACTTGACCATAGGTAGATGGGCTGATTTCTGTATTCTCAATCCTAGTCCATTGATCTTTGTGTCTGTCATTGTACCAGTACCACACTGTCTTGACCACCACAGCATTGTAGGATTTGAAATCAGGAAGTGAGATGCCTTCTACATTGTTTCTATTTTTAAGGAGTGCTTTACTTATTCGGGGTCTCTTTCCATTCCAAATGAAATTGGAGATTGCCCTTCCCGTCTCGTTGAAGAATGGAATTGGTATTTATATTTGGAGTGCATTGCACATGTAGATTGCCTTTGGTAGAATTGTCATTTTCACAATATTGAGTCTTCCTATCTAAGAGCAAGGTATAAGTCTTCCATTTCTCCAGGTCTCTTTTTGTTTCTTATAGTAGTAATGTTTTATAATTTTCTTTAAATAGGTCCTTTGTGTTTTTAGTTAGATTTACTTCCAAGTGTTTAATCTTGTGATTAGCTATTGTGATATTCCTAATTCTAAGAGATACAGATAAAAACAACTATCATCTCACCCCAGTAAGAATAGCAAGATTCAACAGAGCAGCAAACAACAAATGCTGGCAAGGTTGTGGAGAAACTGGAACCCTTATGCACTGTCGGTGGGAGTGTAAAATGGTGCAGCCACTGTGGAAGACAGTATGGTGCTTTCTCAAAAAGTTGGAAATAGAAA